ATGATTACATGAAACCCACACACAAAAGAAAAACAGAGACAAAACATATTCAAACATATTTACCAAAAAAGTAAAAATATAAGTAGATTTATGCACTAAATATAGTCCATTAAATTAACCAATATTATACATATTCAAATATAATTCTTCTAAGAAAAAAAAGAGGCCCTAAAAGACCCTAGCCGATAGTCGTACTATCATTCTCAACTTACATAGTAGCTTTCATCCCCGACAAAAAGATGAAAGCATTATAAGTATTTTTACATATTTAATCATGATTACATGAAACCACGCACAAAAGAAAAATAACAACAAAACATATTCAAATATACCTACAAAATATATAGTCTCAACTCGAGTTATGCCTATATGAATCACAATCTCGGCACCAACCAATCAACTCAACATGCCCCAAGGACAGCATAGATTGAATCCTCACAAGCTACATCCTCTTTCACAGTTCGGGACTCAATCCTATAAAAACCGAAATTATAAATAGTGAGTTTAGATCTAAAAAGGTTCTAAAAAAGATTAAGAATTTCTTTAAAAGGTTAAGAATTTCAAAAAAAAAACAATTATGCAAAAGGATTCCTAGTATGATAGGACATGTAAATTCATTGTCCATGTACTTATATACTGAGAATAATATTTAGTATAGTGTGAAAAAATAAATAACTATATATGACATGTACAAATTAATTAATAAATTATACATAAATTATATCTAGTTTGGTTGTTTGTAAATTATGCTATCCCAACAAGAACTATAAGTATTCAATAAATTTTTGTGGGTTCTAAAATATCTTGGCGTCTTGCTGCATCTTTATATAGTTCTGAATTGGGAAACCAAGAGAGCATAAAATCTCACTTGGTTTCCATCTCCCAAAAAATTAAGAAAAAGTTCAAAATTACTATTAAACATGCATCGAAGAATAAAATGGATGGGGGCAACATGGAGGAGGAATTAGGTGAAGGATTGGGCTCGATGTACTGCTAAAGAAATCCTTGAGGTGTTGTTGGTATTCGAAAGTAGGAGTTTTTTAGAGTCAATTTCAGGTGGAGATGAAGAGGGGAGTCGTATTTGAATTTTTTTTTTTTTTAATGAAGAGGTAGGGAGATTGAGTGACGAAAGAGAAGAGAAAAAGATTTTGAATTTTAGTGAAGATATGATGTTATTATGATAAAAAAAAGAGATGTGGAGATGAACCGGTAAAGGCTAGAAAATAATGAGTCGTTGATTTCATTAATTTAATTTAATTTAATTAGAATATATAATATAAATAAGGTTTAGAGGTAAACTTATCCATAGAAAGTTTTACTCATACTCCCTCTTTTAAAGGGAGTATGATTATCTTACCAGCTCATTTAGCCAAATGAACTGTCTATGCTTATCCGGCACCCCATAAACATACATCAAAAATATACAGTTATGGTTAATGAACCAAACAATAAAGCGTTATAGATTCGGACAGATGAAATACACCCAAGATTAACACAACTAGTTTCAATCAAGCTTTTGCCATATATAATTAACAGTATGTTAGGGTACAGGTGGGCCCAAGAGCATCCAAGGATAGGGAGAGATTCCCCCCAAACAACATCCTCCTCATGCTAGCCGGTGCCGGCCTTCTCTGGATGGGCTGGACCGGGTTCAACGGGGGTGGGCCCTACTCAGTCAACGTAGACGCCTCCCTCGCAATCTTAAACACGCACGTGTGCACCGCCACCAGCCTCCTCGTCTGGCTCGGCCGGTGGGCCCAAGAGCATCCAAGGATAGGGAGAGATTCCCCCCAAACAACATCCTCCTCATGCTAGCCGGTGCCGGCCTTCTCTGGATGGGCTGGACCGGGTTCAACGGGGGTGGGCCCTACTCAGTCAACGTAGACGCCTCCCTCGCAATCTTAAACACGCACGTGTGCACCGCCACCAGCCTCCTCGTCTGGCTCGGCCTCGGCCTCGACATCCTCTTCTTTGAGAAGCCGTCGGTCATTGGCGCTGTGCAGGGCATGATCACCGGCTTAGTCTGCATCACTCCCGCTGCTGGTGAGTTGTTTACTTAGATATGTTGCTGACGTGGTACACATCCAAACCATCAACTTTGATTTTACATCTCGATTTCCGACTGTACGTAAATGGTCTGAATGTTTGACACGCCAGTGATAAGCCAGTATCATAGAGGGACATCAGCACCTCTTTTATCTTTTTTCATGAGGAACACGTTAACATCTCTTTGGTATAGGCCCATAGATACCGTAGAGACTGACCCCAATTTTGTTCTGAACACGATTTGGGCCAGGCCTGGTTCAAGGATGGGCGGCAATCATAATGGGAGTGCTCTCGGGCAGCATCCCCTGGTACACGATGATGGTCCTCCACAAGAAGCTCAGGTTCCTGAACGCCATCGATGACACCCTCGCCATCTTCCACACCCACGCCATTGCCGCTTCTTCGCCGATCCTAAACTCAACCGCCTTTTCTTCGCCGACGACAAACACATCGGCCTCCTTTACGGCCTCAAGTATGGCTTCGTTGCGTATAGACAGTACAAGATTCACTTTCTAAATCACAGCAAAAATTTACTTAATGGATGGTTATAATGTTTATAATATTAACTATAATATAGCTCAATTAATTAACAAAAGGAACTATGATTCATAACTATTTTTCTAACTATTTAAACAGTTATCGTGTTTTTATTGACTACTTGAGTTGCACCGAATACAACTAATCATCCGTTGAATAATAATTGTTGAATCCAACCAGATCTTGCTAACTAATCTTAAAATCCACCAGAGACGGTCGAACTGGCGAAGGATTCAAGCAGATGGGCATGCAACTAGCCGGGATCGCCTTCATCGTCGTCATCAACGTCATTATAACCTCCATCGTGTGCAATCTGATCAAGCTCATTGTGCCGCTACGGCTCAGCGAGGAGGACATGAACATCGGTGACGACGCAATCCACGGAGAGGAGGCCTATGCACTGTGGGGAGATGGTGAGAAGTTTGAGAGCTCCAAGCATAACTCTCCTTATGACGTCGAGGAGTTCCCTTCAGCTGGAAAAGCTGTTCAGATGACTTGAAGACGGTTTGGTTGCTTGGGGTTAATTTGTTGCAAGCGATGTCAGGGGCATGCGTGAATGATTTTGCTTCGGATGTGATGATGATTGATGAATAATAAAAGACATTAATTGAGATGGAACTAGTGTGTTATGTTATGGATGATTGATATGATCTATGCCAAATGTAAATTTTGTGTTGAACTTTGCATTCTATTTTCTGTCATCTGTTAATATGAATCGGATCTTCTGTTTCCAATTGAGAGGTCAATCTAAGTTTCTTGTTTCATAAGTTCCAACTAAATTTTCTTCTTGAGAAATAAAGTGCACCCCTTATAAAATTATAACATTTATCCATACGAATATGTCATAATAAATATACATCGGGCGTGGGCCGATCAACCCGCAGGCTAACCCAACCCAGCCCACCATGTGTCACGACCCGGCCCGACGCGTAGTAGGTTGGGCCCGAACCAGCCCATGATATACCCGAGTCACGAGCCGGGCTGGTCTAGATTCGGGATCAAAGAAATAGGCTCAGCCCATGCCCGACCTCCCCCGGCTCGACCTGCCTTGACCCATGATATATTTTTTAGTTGGGCTAATTATTCTTTTAGTCCTTTGGGTGTGCAACTAGCTATTTATTTAGTCTTTTAGGTCTGAAACTAGCTGCTAACAAAGTCAATAGGTCATAGGTATTTGGCTCATGAGCCTTTTGATCCACTGAGAAATAAAACAGCGATCTTTAAGTTCACTGTTGTCTACCTAGATGGATTAAAGAGTTTAATACTATTTTAAAAATAGTTTAATACAAGTTTAAATTACTCAAAATAAATTAGAAATAATTTTATGATTGTAAATACAAGTTTAATATAATTAAAAAGGTAAAAAATAGAATAAGGTTTGGATGAAAAACCCATGGGCCAGCTCATGACCCATAGGCCGCGAACCGGGTCAGACCAGTCCGCACCTAGGCGGGTCATGGGCCGAGCTAGATCCAGTCCCGGACCTAGGATCACAGAGATAGACCCGACTCATTCTAACCCG